TCTGTTTATTACCCCAAGAAAATAATCAGAAGAAACTTTTCTCCTTCTGTCCTCAAATCTCCTAACATCTATTCCTATGTACTTTGTCTTCACTAGAATAAAAATGACAAATTCCTTTAGCTTTTAGGGTTATACCCTTCTCTTTCCTCGTATAACTGCTCTGTCTCTCACTTGTAACATCCATTTGTTTCTCTCCATGGAACATTGAGGTCCACACATAAACATGATATGACATCTCCTATCTTAAAAATTGGAACAGGGGACCAGCACATGATATAATGATTATGTCACTGGACTCCCATGTAGTCAACTGCAGTTCAAGTCCAACCCAGTGGCTTAAAATTCACACCAGGTGCATGTGCATGCCCAAAATCCCCAGGGGAGAATGGAGAAGGGATTGCTGCATGGCCATCTGCCTGGGGGGTGATTTCTTGCTTTCTCTCTGTCTCTCCAACGAGCGCCATACCACATGCCCTGTAGCAAAAACCTCTCTCTCTAAAAAAAAAAAGGAACAGGAAACTTGACCTCACAGTCCCCCACCAGGCACCAGAAATATTTAAAAAACGGTCTTCCATGTGTCTCACTTGCTCACCATCTCTTCTCTCAAGTCCACTCATCTCTCTTCTCACGGCTCCACCAACTATCCTTGCTGAATTACTAAAGGACTTCCCTATTGCCAAAGCCAATGGTTAATTCTCAGTACTCTACTACTCTACATTTCCAGTTATCTACCAGATAATCGCCCCTTCCTTAAGAAAAAAAAAGGGGGGTGTTGTCTATCCTTTGAGTTTCAGCACATTTGCTTTTCTTCCTATCGTACCTTTTCTTCCCCAGAGCTGTTTTAGCTTCCTAAATGACCCCATTCTGTATCACGGTGTTAACTACTACTCATGCATTCATCATCGCCAAATGAGTACGTCCAGTGTCTGGCTCTCTCCCGAGTTCTAATATGGCAGATCCATCTTCCTACTAAATTTTCTCCACGTGCTGGTCTAATAAGAATCATACACTTTACATTAACCCAAACTGAATTAATTTATCTTCTTTAAATTATTCCCTTCTCTGGTCTGTCCCATCTCAATAATTGACACAACCCATTTGCTTAGGCAATGAAACCTGGCATTCATCTTTGGTCTTTTTTTTTCTTGAGAGATTTTTGCTATAGGGCACTTGTACTCGCTGGATAGAGACAGAAAGTGAAAAATCAACCCCCAGGGGGTATGGCCATGCTGCATGCTGCAATCCCTTCTCCACTCTCTTCTTGGATTTTGGGTACACACACACACACACGCACACACACACACACACACACACATGCCCAGCTTGTTTCAAGCTGCCAGGTCTGGGACTTGAACCACGATCGACCATGTGAGAGTCTAGTGCCTTAACCACTACACCACCTGCTGGTCTCCCTACTCCCAATCCATCCACCAACACATCTTGCTGGCTCTAAACTGGCTGTAACATCATCCTAAGTTAAAGAACATCTGAACTTTTGAACACTGAACAGTTACCACTCTAGTCCACACTCTGAAAGACTTGCACTTCTATTCTGACCACCTGTAGTCATTCTCTGCACTTCTGTGCAGGGAATCCAAACCAGATCATCTTACCCTCTTACGTTGTATCTTCTAGTGGTTTCCTATTATTCTCAACATATACAAAACCCCCACTATGGCCCACAAAACCTGGCAGTCCTGCATATTTATTTAGAAACAGTCTGGTGCCAGCTAACCCCTTGAATCTCGTATTTCACTTTTACTGTCCCCGCTCACTCTGCTCAATCATACTGACCTCTTCCCTGTCTCCATCTTGCTTCTACAGTCTGAATGTGCGTCTCCTCACACATTTGAAATCTCAACCCCAGTACAAAAAGTAAGAAGATACAAGGGTCTTGAGAGAGGTGATTATGTCATGCAGGTTTCACTCTTTTGAGAGGTTTTTGCTATGGGGCTTGTGCGCTCACCAGACAAAGAGACAGAGACGAGAGAGTGAGAAATCACCCCCCAGGGGGGATGGCCACGCTGCAATCCCTTCTCCTCCATTCTCCTCTCAGGATCTTGGGCACGCACGCACATGCACCTGGCATGAGTTTAAGCCACCGAATCTGGGACTCAAACCGCAATTGACTACATGGGAGTCCAGCGACATAGCCATTACACTAACTGCTGGTCTCTTGCAGGTTTCACTCTTAGGAATGGGATTAGTGTGACTCAATCTCTAACAAGAGATTAGAAGGTGTGTCCCTGTCCCTTTCTGTCATGTGAGGACATAAAACGTGTCATCTATGAAGAAGAGAGAGCTTTCACCAGACACTGAATCTGCTTTCCAGATTGATCTTGGACTTCCAAGTCTTCAGAACTATGAGAAATCTCTGCAATTTATGAATTACCCAGTCTAAGTTGTTATAGCAGCTTGTACAGACTAAACATAATTAGCACACCCACTTCTCATGACTTTAACTTAAGTACTCTTCATTGAAATCTTTGCTCAAATGTCACCAACTTATTTTTTGGAGTTTTGTTTTTTTTTTAATTTGCTATAGGGTGCATGCACTCGCCAGACAGACCGAGACAGACATAGATAGAAAGCAAGAAATCACCCCCCCTCCCCCGAGGGGATGGCTACACCGCAATCCCTTCTCCTCCACTCTCCTCTCAGGATCTTGGGCACACACGCACACGCGCCTGGCCTGAGTTTTAAGCCACCAGTCCGGGACGTGAACTGCGGTCGACTACACGGGAGTCCAGCAACATAGACATTATGCTAACTGCTGGTCCCAAATGTTACCCACTTATAAGAAATCTTCTTCCAAGACCAATCAGTCCAAAATAGTTTAGCCCACTCATCCTTTTTTGCCATGGCATTTTTTATCGTTAGTCAATCATTTAGATACCACAGCTGCAAACTCACTTACTTGCTAAAATTCCTTTATGACCCTAAAAATCAATACTCACTGTACTTTGTGTGGTCATTTGCAAACATCCATAGAGCAGCGAAACATTTGAGTTGACTGATAAATGTTCTCAGCTGTGGTTGAACAAGTCAACCCTTTGCCTTCCTGTTTGAGCTCTCAGGATGTAAACAAGTGTTTTTTTAGTGGTCTATTTAGTGTCGTGTTTTTCACATTTTTGTGTTTTTGGTATTTTCATTGTTTAAAAAATGGTCCCAGGCACAGTGCTGGTGTTGTCTGCTGCTCCTAAGCACGAGGAGACTATAACGCGCCTAGTGGAGAAAATCCATGTTATTAGATAAGCATCACTTGGGTTTGGGTTTTAGTGCTAATGACCAGCAGCAGTTCAATGTTAATGTAATGACTCAACAATACAGATTAAAAAGGGGTCTTTAAACAGAAACACACAACAAACAAGGTGACTCACTGACTGGCTGACAAAAATGCTGTGACCATAGGCTCACAGACATCTAACCCTGTAATTCCCCTATTTGCTAATTCTGTGTTCATGGCAACTTTACAGTGCATAACCAATCCAAAGGACAAAGTCAACTCTTGCCTATCACCACCCTACCTTATATAGTCACCCTGTTTAGAAGACCAACACCTAAAGGGTAAGGATTTCCTTTTACTTTCCTGCCTTAGGAGCTAACAATACTAGAAATACCACTAGTAAATAATCTACTAAGACTTCTTAAATAGGTAACAAGTAAAGGGTGGCAAGCAATTCCTCAAAAAAAAAAACAAAACAAAAATAAAAATCTCAACTGGACAATAGTCATGGACCATGTTCAGCCTCACTAGAAATGTGAACAGAAACAGGTAGGCTGGGCCTCCTTCTTCAATGCTATTTATGTCATGTCGGAGGCCTCATGGAAGCCAACAATGCAGCAATCATTAAGACTTTAAATGTTCACATCCTTTGACCCAACAGTTCCACTCCCAGAAAACTCTGGTCTGCATAACACTTTATCAACAAGGATAACTGCTTGTAGCACAATTAACAATAGTACAAAACACCTCAAAATCCACAAAGATTAGTGAAACATGGTTACTCATAGTATTTTGTAGCATTTCAAAGTTGTCCAAAATTCTAAGATGGAAAAATGCTAATTAACACTAAAGTAATAAAAACGGATCATGCATACAGGTACAACAGGAACCTTTTTTAGTCTATATACGTTTAAAAATATGGAAATGTTTGCAGTTATCACTAACATGAATCATCCAAACTTGGTGTTTCCTGGGTTTTTTCTTGGGGTAAATACACATAACTATCAACCACACACACACACAAAAAAGGAAGAGGTGGTTAGGGAGTAAATTTGACAATTAAGAAGTGCTGTTTCCCTGATAAAGTGTTTCACTCCAAAACCACTGCCTGCCACTCAAATCCCAGTGACTATTGCCATTAACTACTACAGAAGTGATATTGTTGGGACATCCAACTTTTAAATAAGATAAACTCATACTTCTACCTGCCCTGGTAACCAGCGTTAACTCAACCTCAGCTCTGTAACTCACTAGTTAGGTACTGTTGTTGCCTTACCTATAAAATTTGATGACGGTATCTCAGAAATGTTGAGGTTTAAATGAATTTACATCTTACATGTAACAGAACCGAACATACAGCAACCCTGGTTAAGTCTTGGTTATTTTTCCCTCTCAAAACATAACTGTTACATGGTGCCCAGTTTGATTACAGAAATACATGTCTTGGGGGGGCGATGGTATTTATGATAATGTGAACTTTCTGTACATCATCACAAAAATACTCTTTCCTGATGCAGATCATCTGTTGGTCATCTAACACCACTCAAAGTTATGGCAGTAAGGTTTACTGCCATCCTTTTTAAGAGAAAAAGAGGGTAAGAAGTATGGGATTAGGTCCAGTCTGAAATGTTGTCTAGTGTTTCTAAGCACAAGGAGACTATAATGTGCCTTTCTGGTATAAGTTAAGAGGTTTAGGTTCTTAAACCCAGAGAACCATAAGGAAAACCGTCACACATTCGTATACCACATACAACTTTAATATAAACTACGGCTGGCCCTTCCTATGTGCAGGTTCCTTTTCCATGGATCAGCTTGGATAAGAAAATGTCACACGTTGCAAACATGTACTATGTATTTAAGACAATGGTTGAGTCTGTACTGAACACGTCCAGATTTTGTCATTATTCCCTACAGTACAGCAGTTTACACAGTACTCACACAGTATGAGAAGTAATCTAGAGATAAGCTGAGTGAAAGAACACGCATAGGTTACATGTAAACACTACACTGTGTATATAAAGAACTTGTGTATCTGTGGATTTGGGCATCCTTAAGGATGTGATAAAACCCTTCCCTGTAGATACTGAGAGAAGCTTGCAGAAGCAACATTAACAAAACTTGAAATCTAGTAATTTAATGTACCCAACTGTATAAACTGCCAGGAACTAAATGCTACTTTTCATTTTCAACATTTTGAAATTCTCATTCTCCTACAAGCACAAAATAAAGCCAACAAGAAGATCATATTCCTGATCATTTTAATCTGTAAAACATTACATGCTTTGTGGGCAGAACCAAAGATAAACCCTCAATGTCTTATATTTTGTTCATGGTTATTACACAAGACTGGTATATAAATACTACTTGAAAACACAGTTTTTCTAAGAGCAATAATAAATATTGAACTCAAAAAAGTTAACAAGCATTCAACAATTCTCGAACAGATATTCATCAAAATGAGGTAAGTCTAATGTGTCATTTGCTAAAGAATTTAATGCTGCAGTGGAAAAAAACTCATCAAAAATATCAGTCTTCATGGAATTTTCCAAGTTTAATGTTCTGATACAGGCATTATTTGTTAGTGAGCCTGGCTGAACTTCACATTGATTTTTCTTGGTGGGGCTGCAATAATTATGTTCCTGTCTCAGATGTGTGTCCTGGGAAACATAATTTAATTCATGAGGTACTGTTGCTGGGACATGGTTATCTCCCATTTCCAAATACCTAAAGTCCGCTTCTCCATTTTCTGAGAGCTCTGTTGAAACAGCAGTTGGAGGAGACAGTAATTCTGCTAAAATCTCCTCATGAGTTTGACTACTGTATGGGGAAGCATTAGTAGTACATCCAGATTTATCTGCAATATCAATTTGATACTGTAGCTCATTTAGCAAGTCTTCTATTGATTCACAATCATTTGGAGACCCACAATCGGGAGTATGTTCTGAATGTTCACTTGGAAGTGGTTTACTTTGGGGGGAAGACATAAGAGCAGCTAACTTCTTCTTTTTGGCCTTTAGTTTTTTTAGAAGTTTTAGACGAAGTTTATGAATCTGACCTTCAACTGAATCTCTGTGGTTTGCTGAAGAAACATCATTTTCATTTCCATGAGCAATGTGGTGGAGGTGAGGTCCATCTGAGGTGCTTTCACACTTTTCAAAACTTCAGAGGCAGCTGTCACATCGGCAGGAAGCTGAGCAGCTGTGCTGCCTGACGGCAGAGGAGTTGGGGGAGTCTCATTGGCTACAGGACGCTTACTAGCTTTTCTGTGGGCTTTCCTGGATACCCGATTAGCCTTTTGGTTTATGCCTTTAGTTTTGAAGCCACCAAAATTATTTGCCCCTTTAACTGAAGGCTGCAAATCAGTTATAGAACTTCTATTATGAGCTGAAACACAAGGTGGCATAAAAGAAGCGCCCCTGCTTAATAAGCCTTTAACCCAACTTCCCACAAATGGTTTCTTCTGACTTTCTTTCGGAGTCTGATCCTGTAATGACTTAACTGTTATGGTCTGAGAATGTGCTACAGTTTCTTTTTTCTTCAAATTAGATACCTGAACTATAACATGCTCTGGTTTTAATTTCTCACTTTTTGGTGTAAGGACCTGTTTTGACTGAGTGTCCTCCAATTCTGACTGCACTCCCTGTATAGTGCTTTCACACTTCTTCAAAACTTCAGAGGCAGCTGTCATACCAGCAGGAAGCTGAGCAGCTGTGCTGCCTGACGGCAGAGGAGTTGGCGGAGTCTCATTGGCTACAGGAGGCTTACTAGCTTTTCTGTGGGCTTTCCTGGATACCCGATTAGCCTTTTGGTTTATGCCTTTAGTTTTGAAGCCACCAAAATTATTTGCCCCTTTAACTGAAGGCTGCAAATCAGTTATAGAACTTCTATTATGAGCTGAAACACAAGGTGGCATAAAAGAAGCGCCCCTGCTTAATAAGCCTTTAACCCAACTTCCCACAAATGGTTTCTTCTGACTTTCTTTCGGAGTCTGATCCTGTAATGACTTAACTGTTATGGTCTGAGAATGTGCTACAGTTTCTTTTTTCTTCAAATTAGATACCTGAACTATAACATGCTCTGGTTTTAATTTCTCACTTTTTGGTGTAAGGACCTGTTTTGACTGAGTGTCCTCCAATTCTGACTGCACTCCCTGTATAAAACCAGGAGCATGAATGTGATCCACAGAGTTAGTAATTACATTATCGTTTGCATTCAGCTGTAGTGATTGCGTGTTTGTCTTTATAACTTGAGATGGAAAGCTTAACTCCACAAATTGGTCTTGTATAAGCTTTTCATTACACAGCACTGACTCTGAAGAAGCCATTAGTGATTCTTGTGTTTGGAAAGCATTTGTTTGGCCAATTTGTGTATTTTCTGTCACCGGTTTATTTTCTAATAGCAATGTTTCAGAGTTAACTTGAAAATTTGAAGCAGTTTTCTGGGTAGTTTCTTCAAGTGTCAAGGGTAAATTATTGTTGACCTCTGGATCTGGAAGTAAGTGGTTTTTAGGAGCTACAGTTTCATCCTGTGGAAGAGTGTGAGGAGTAACTGACACATTCTCTGGGTGAGCTATCGAGGACATCTCCGCTGAGGTGGCGTCACCAACACACCACGACACTGGACATACAGGTGTCTCATCACTGAAAGAGTGAACGTCAGTCTTAAGTGGGAGGTAGGAAGCTCCTTCATCTGTCACTTGAGATGTTTTTCTTTCCCAAATAACAATGTGTATCTCTGATGCAGGAACTTCAAATTTCTCATGCCTTTCAGAACACTGGCCTTTTAAGTCATCACATTCCAGCCAACTTCCTGGGAGATGGAAAAGAGTCAAAGAGGTTAGACATTTGAAAATTACGAACTGAGGTTAACTCTCTTCTGGCCTTTTAAACTGCTGTATCATTTTATTTCCAACAAAGGTTAGAACACTCTAATTTATAGTCCTGTCCTTGTCACCATTCTGCCAAATGTGTACGTTCTTACAGGAATAACTAAAGCTTATGGGCTAACATTCAGAAATAAACTGAGGCAGTTTTCTGAATAGTTTATACTCTTTCTTTAAATACCAATAAAAATTAAGATAGAGCTAATGTAACTTTTAATACTTAGAATTCAGTATTACCTATTTTACCCAACATCAGAAAATAGAGTCAAGCTGTTCCATATATATTAACTTTGAAGATAATGGAAGCTTGTTACTTTTGCTTTATTTAGGACCTTCTGTTTTCTCATCTGTCAAGTGGGAATGACGTGATGGATGACAAGTGAAGAGTCTGAAGACTAGGAATACCTACAGTGTCAAACACTGAAGTATCAAGACAAAACCAGGGAAGAGTCCATTACTTACAGCAGTTTAGTCCCTGTCAGTTATTTCTGCCCACACCTTACTGAGAAGTAAAGGAAGGTGGCTGGGTGCTGATGTGAAGCACAGTTAAGGGGAGGTGTGTGTATCTCTTACTACTGTGTGGTAATTCTGGAAAATCTACCAACACACTTGGATGGGTAACAGCATTTATTTTAGTTTACATTTAGAGACAAGGTCTCATGTATGTTGCCTAGGGTGTTCTCCAATTCGTTATCCTCCTGCCTGAGCCTCCCCAGGGATTGCGATTACAGGTGCAAACCACCACACACACACACACACACACACACACACACACACACACACAGGCGTATGTATTCAGGAAACAGAAATGAGAAGTATAATGTCATGGGAATTGTGGTACATCAAATATGTAACATACTCTATTTTTATGAAATACATGTGATAAATTCATAAATCAAGATTTCAACCACCATCACAATTACTATAAAACATTTTCTATTCCTTGGCTTTTCAATAGTGAGCACCCAAACTTAATACATTTTTTTCAATGAAATACATCACACTGTTTTAGCAGTAGAGAAGTGATAATCAACATAGCATTTTTTTAATGGTGCAAATACATGTTTAGACACTTGTTCTTAAATGCTAAAAAGGCACTACTGGACAGCTAAGCAGCCTGCCTTAAGGAGAGCCAGATCCCACATGGCTGACTGCAGTCCAAATCCCACTCCTGGCAGCTTGAAAAATGAGCCTGGTGCATGTGCATATAAGCCCCAAACCCTGGCACTTTGGAGAAACAGAAGAGAAGGGAATGTGGCATGATCACACACCCAATTAAGGGGTGCTTTCTCCTTCTCTTTGTTTCTGGGACAAACGCAGAGGCCTTCTGACCAATTAAAAAAAAAAAAAAAAGGTGTTTCTCTTTTCTCTAAATAAGTGTATCTATCTACCCTTTTTGAAAAGATTTCTAAGAACTCACATAGAAAACTCATAGCTCACACAGATGTGACATCTCCCTCTCTCTTTCTTATTCACTTCTGGGGATTGTGGTGTGGCCATCCCTCCAGAAGGTAAATTTTTGCTGTCTCTTTAGCAAGTGCACATGCTTTATAGCAAAAGTCTCTCTACCGAAAAAAAGAGATCTCATCTTAAGAGTGTGAGGGAAAAAGTAGACTCTGCAACAGGCCCCAAAGCTTTCTGTGAAGAACTAATCTTGAAGAACAGCGGAAGGGAGAAAGGAACCTTTCCTTAGCTGCTGCTCAGGCCAATTTAGTTGTTAATAGACTGGTAAATTTCTAAGGTATTAAGAGTGACTGAAAAAGTGTTAAGACTCGGCATGGATTTAAAAAATATTCCCCAAAGGAAAAAATTAAAAATGAGATTAAAATATTTATTAAAATATATCTGATAAAAATAAAGTAAATTGAAAGTATAACAGCAGTCACATAACAGAGTATGGCTTCTGATAGTTAAGTTACAAAAAGGAAAATAAAATATATTCAGAGATTTGCTAAGCGCCTACATATATAAAACACCATCACTCACAAAGTATGTGGTTTATATGGATAAATGTTTTATTAGTACCTGAACCTCATTCTGCAATGAAAACTCTGACAATCTTTTGTTTGCCTGTGTAAACAGTTCTCTACCATACAGGTACCTTGGAATCACCTGGGGAGTTTTTAAAACAATATTGAAGGGCCAGCAGGGGTGTTGTGGTAAAGGGTGCTAAACTCCCCATTTGGCTGACTGAGGTTTGAGTCCCAGACCTGGCAGCTTCTTCTCTCTCCTAGCCCCAGTCAAATAAAAATAAATAAATACAGGGACCAGCAGTTGGTGTAATGGCTATGTTGCTAGACTCCCATGTATTTGACTATGGTTCAAATCCTGGACCCAGTGGCTTAAACTCATGCCGGGCACGTGTGCATGCATGCCCAAGATCCCAGGAGGAGAATGAAGAAGGGATTGTGGCGTGGCAATCCTCTCAGAGGGTGATTTCTCGCTTTCTGTCTCTCTCTTTCTGGTGAGGGCAGGCGCCCTATAGCAAAAGACTCTCAAAACAAAAAAAAAAAACAAAAAAAAAAAAACACACACGAAAAGCAAAAAACATAAAGTTCAATAAAATAATTCTTAAAAAAAAAAAAAAAACAACCCAACAATAACATTGAATTATTTGATTTGGGACTGGCAGGTGGCATGGTGGTTAAGGGTGCTGGACTCCCACATGGCCAAACACTGTTCGAATCCCAGACCTGGTGGTTTGCTTTCTCATTCTCCTGCCCTAAGCTCTCATTCTCTCCTTCTCTGGTCAAAATAAAATAAACAAACAAAGTTAAATAAAAATAATTCTTAAAAAACGTTTTTTAATGACAATTTAAAAAATATTGATATTAGTGTTCAATCCCTAAGCCTGAATCATTGCTCTAGGGTAGAACCTGCACATTTTTATAAACAAAGCAAGTAATTCTTGCATGCTGCACTTCAAGTGGACTTTTCATTTCCTGGAATGCAACAGAAAGCTAAAATAAGGGCCTGCTGGTGGTATGGTGGTTAAGGTGGCTGGACCCAACTTGGCTGACTATAAGGTTTAAGTACCAGACTTGGTAGCTTGAAAAACATGCCCAGTGAATGTGTATGCATGCTCAAAATCTCCCCTCCGCCCCAAAATGGAAGAGATTAATGCATGACTGTCCCCCACAGGGTGGGGTGGTGTGCATTTTCACTTTCTCTCTCAAGTAATCGCACCCTTTAGCAAATTTAACAAAACAAAAGCTAAAATAATTTGTGCTACTGAGAACTATTTTTACCCAATTCTGAAATGGGGTAAAACTTTAAGGTAGAATTTCATTTATAACATGTGTTTCAGTTTGCAAAATACTTTTGTAACAAAGCACTGTGTCATCACCCAAATCATCCCCAAGGAAAACACAAAACATGAAAAGTGTCCAGGGCCAGTCCCATGGCCTAGTAGTTAAGGGAGCTGAATTCTACATGGTTGACTATGTGGTTTGAATCCTGGTTCCAGCAGCTTGAAAAACAAGCTGGGCACATGTGCATACATGCATGACCCAAATTCATACAAGATGGAGAAATAGAGGAGAAAGGGACTGTAGTGTACCAACACTCCACTGGGTGTGCTTTCTCCCTCTCTCTGGCAAGTGCATGTGATCTCAGGGAAGGGGAAGGAGGATGGGGAGGAGAGGAAAAAGGGAAAGGGAAGGGGTAGCAGTCCAGACAATAGAAATGATTGTAAAGTGAGCCCTTAACAGCAGTCTGATACACTTCAAAGGGACTGAGTTATCTTGTCTAAGACAAAGTGAACATTGTGAAGAAAACATACTATTAAACTATATTAGGCAAAAAGGGGGAAAGTCAAAAAAATTAATGAACTGTATTTATTTACCCTTCAATGAGTTTATTTAAGTAAAAAGCTTTATCTTTGTAGCTGTCAGCAATGGGTTTCAGATATTCAATTTCACAATGACAAAAGGGTACATAGTCTAATGTTTAATAATCTTAGATGTAGACTTTTGCTCTTATTTTGTTTATACTTACTAATACTGCAAGCTAAACAAAATTTATTTTCACTTTTCTTTATCATTTAAAAACCTTCAATGGGGCTGACAGGTGGCGTGCTGGTTAAAGGCACTGGACTCCCACATGGCCAACCATGGTTCAAGTCCTAGACCTGGTGGCTTCCTTTCTTATTTTCCCTCTCTCTCTGGTCAAATTAGAAAATAATAATAATAATAATAATAAATAAAGTTAAAAGGATTCTTAGGAAAAATCTTTCAATAAGAACTTTCTTTTTTTTTTGAGAGGTTTTTGCAATAGGGCGCGTGCGCTCGCCAGACAAACAGAGAGACATAGAGACAGAAAGCGAAAATCACCCCCCAGGGGGGTTGGTCATGCCGCAATCCCTTCTCCTCCATTCTCCTCTCGGTATCTTGGGCATGCACACACACGTGCCCGGCCTGAGTTCCAAGCCACCGGGTCCAGGACACGAACCGCGGTCGACTACATGGGAGTCCAGCGACATAGCCATTACGCTAACTGCTGGTTCCCAGAACTTTCTTTTTCAAAATACAAGGTGTCACTACAAAGGAAAACTTCCACTACTCATTTTTCCACACTGAACATTTCTCATATAATTAAACAAATAGATTAAGTAGAAAAAAGCAAACTGTAAACCAACAGTAATATATGATTTCATCCATTGTCTTAAAAAGAAATGTATATATACATGTGTAAACCCATAATATGTGATATAAGAAAACGAAGAAGTTAAGAATATTATAACCACCACATTTTTAAAAGGAGGGGAGAGGAGAGGAATGAAAGCCAAAAAGGCAAGAATAGAGAGAAAAAGACAAAACAAAGTTTAGCCTTAAAAGAAAAAAATGTTTAGTTGCCTGTCTATTATCATAATACAAATGTTTAAACTCTTACCATCAGCATCTAAAATCCATGTTATAAAATGGTTATTTGCTTGGTACTGAATTACAGACGTGATCTGATAAAGACAGCCTTCAAAATGAAATTTATAGTGTTGCAAGTCACTCTGTGGTAAGCCTTCAACAAAGTGCACCATGAATATAGGAGATACTCTGTGGGAAACAAAAGCAGGAGTCAAAAAAATGTAATGCCATGTGCCTAGTTATACAAAAGATGATGTGAAGTGAACTAGTCACACATAACACTTTCAAGACAAACTGCAATAATTTTTCTTGAGCACCTCCAGATGTGTGCCTTAATTAGAAATGGAGAACTAACTCTAAGAAGTATGTAACACTAAACTCTTTTAAGAATGGTATCAATGACAGTTGGAAGCCATCATGCTGTAAGATTCTAACACAGACCATTAAACAAAAATTGCTCTGTAAGCAAGATGTTGCTTTGGCTTAAACAAGATCTCGTGGAAGCTATTTTGTAGGATCAAAGGAAAGAATACAGACCTTTTAGAATTTTCTAACCAACACATCTAAGAAATTCAAATAAACACTAATTTGGCTTATTTCTCTCTGTTATCTCTGAAAGTAGAGCGGTGCATTAAATTAAATTTTCTACTCAGGAAAAGAAAATTATATACTGATTTTCTATAAATTTCAAGATATCCATAATTTCAAAAATACATTTTACCATTCATGTAACATGTCAGAACCAGAAAAAGGAATCCAAACATGGGCTTCAATTAACTAAATTTAACAAAGCTCTCAGGATTTAAGAAAAATGTTGACTATCCTTTTTCCTAATACTTAAACAGCTGTCAAAACTTACTTAATTAGCTCATCAAAATGTATTCAGCTGAAATGAACTTGAGTCAATGTCCAAAAGCAGATTATTCAGACTGACAAGGGATAATTTGTAAATCACTCCTTGAGATTTTATTAGAGAATAATCAAGTCCTCGATATATCTATACACACGTACATATAAATGTAAAGTTCTGTGGACTGTCTATAACACTACTCTTCTCACCAATTTATCCTATCTATGCTATCCAGTAATCAAGTCCTCAAAATTTATATGCTGATATATAAAAGGTTCTGCAAGATATTTATAACACTAAATTATAAAACTCACCATTATGAAAATATATTGCCAAGTAAACTATACCACATCCATTAACTCAGATGTAGTTTGACATGTTAAAAAAACGAAGTATGGGGCCATTTGGTGACATAGTACTTAAGGCGCTGGACCTCCACAGGGTAGACGATAGTTTGAGTCCCAAACTCAGCAGCTTGAAACTCATGCCAGGTGTGTACATGTGCCCAAAATCCCGAGAGGAGAAGGGATTGTGGCATGGCTATCCCTCTGGGGTAGGGAAGGAGGTGATTTTTCGCTTTCTGTCTGTCTGGAGAGTGCACACGCCCTATACCAAAAATATCTTCTCTTTAAAAAAAAAAAAAAAAGGAAAGAAAAGAGAAAGTAAAGTCTCTGCTTGAATTAATGATCCAAAGTAAAGCTATAGATGTATTCTCACAGTTGAAGATGCAGGCTTTAGGCACTCGACTTTAATTACTAGCATTCAGTTCCCTTGGCCTCATATAATACCTCAAGATCTCTTCTGAGGCTATTTATCTTGTTGATCCCTAGAATACGTTTGTGTGAGTTCCTACATGGAAAATGTTTAAAGACATCTATATTAATATGAAAGAATAAAATAATGCATGTAAGAACCACTTGGCACATTTTTATGCTGTTTGTATGTTCTAAGCTTCCCAAATATTCTTTCATAAATTATTACTAATTTTTACTTTTGTAAAAGTAAAACTTGGGACCAGCAGATGGCATTATGGTTACACCGCTGGATTGCCATGTAGTCGACCATGATTCGAGACCAGAGTTAAACTCACACCGGGCGTGTGTGTGTGCGTGTCCAAGATCCCAAGAGGAAAATGGAGAAGGGATTGTGGCGTGGTCATCCCCTGGGGGGGGGGGGGGATTTCTCGCTTTTTGTCTGTCTCTCTCTCTGGTTAGCACATGCACCCTAGAGTGAGCACACGTGCCCTATAGCAGAAAAACCTCTCCAAAAAAAAAAAACAGGCCACCTCACCACGACCAAAACCCACACACAGCATACTTCCTTGAATATAGTACATACTAAAACTCTGGTAGAATACAAATAAACACGTAACAGGAACTGATTTTGTGGAAATCTCCAAAACCTGCTTATGGATCCAGATAAAGTAGAAATTTTATTTTCTTATTCAGCAAAAAAGGGATGGCAACTATCAAGGCAATTATGTAAATTTTGAAACATCCTCTTAATTAATTAAACTAGCCCCTCTGCCAAAAAAATGGATGAGTACACCAAAGTTATCTAAGGCCTAATGTGGAATGAAGTGATGCAGAGAAGAGTTTTACTACCATCTCACCCAAACAGGAGCAGAATGTCCTCCTACATTCTATAATCATAAAACCTTTAAAGTTCTAAATGCCAAGTAAATTCCGACTCCCCTCCATATTTTAACATCTCTGAGATTAGGATATACTTTATAATTGATGGCATGCAAATTAATAGGAAATACTTGTTTTTTAGTGTTATCTTTTTAAAATGGTAAAACTTGCAAATAATGGCAGCTTACAGCTAATCAAATATTGATATATAGTTCCTCCTCATTTTCTTTATTTTCCCCTTGGTTCCTTTCTGGGGACACGAGTCTCTAGTGCCCTAGAAATTACAGTATTCTTCTATCCATAATTTCAGCTGACCTAATTTCCAAACTTCTAAGTAAAGGTAGAGCTTTACACCTAGATTTTGTTCTCATCCTTCTTTCTACCCACATTGCCTGGAGTGAGTCAAAGATGACACTGAGAGTTGAGGAGGGCAAGTTAGATTATACCTCAATCACAAGAAAATTGATGGAATGGATTAACAATGAAAATCAAGAGTCAGGAAGAGATTTGAAGCTAAGACTCATTTGCATTCATATACCATGTGGTTGAACTCCTTTTTTTAAAGGATTTTGGTGGTGAGCTCGCTGAAGAGAGAAATAGAGAGATGGAAAGTGAGCAATCGCCCCCCCAGAGGGATGGCCAAGCCACAATCCCTTCTCCTCCATTCTCCTCTCAGGATTTTGAAACAAACACACACGCTCCTGGCATGACTTCAGGCTGCCAGGTCTGAAGTTGAAACCATGGTCAGCCATGTGGGAGCCCAGTGCCTTGGTTACGACACTACCCGCTGGCCCTGAACTCTTCCTATTAATAGAGATCTACCTTCAGGAAAAGAAAATAGGGAAGAAAGGAAGCATAAGGGAACCATGCTAACCCATTTCCCAAAGATAGCAGAGGAACACGAGTCCTATCTCACAGATAGCAGCCAGTTTTATGCTAATTGCTTGGAGTACCAGTTTGCTATTTTCACTGAAACTAATGTAATGATTCACATTTTAGAAAATGCAAATTTAATAATGTACATACATGTACATCTGAACTGTAATAACAGACTTTAAGCAAAAACACCCTGCAAAGGAGCCAGCAGGTGGTGTGGTGGTTAAGGTGCTGGATTCCCAGTTGGCCAAATGTAGCTCAAGTTCCAGACCTGTTGTCTTGAAAATCATGCTGAGCACATGTGCATGCATGCCCAAAAACCCAGGAGAAGGGATTATGTGATTTCTCACTACCTGCCCCCCTCATCTCTGACACCCACCCTATGGCAAAAACTTTAAAAAAGAAAAAAATAACCTGCAAATTTAAACTTCATTACATTATAGATCTATCATATCATTGTTTGAACTATTTCAGATACTATGACAAATAAAATGGAAACTATGAATAAAATTATAGTTCAACATAGCTCAACTAACTAGAATTGGTTCAAATTAGTTGTAACAATAAAATACTAGGGTATTCAACAAGTTCATAGAAATGTATATTATGGAAAAACTATGCATGGATTTCAACATTTTTTTGCACCAAAATAAACTCATACTTTAATTCTACTTTTCCACGAACTTTTTTTTGAGTGGAGAGATTTTCGCTATAGGGCGCGTGCGCTCGCCAGACAGACAGAGAGAGATAGAGAGACAGAAAGCGAGAAATCACCCCCCAGAGGGGATGGTCACGCCGCAATCCCTTCGCCTCCATTCTCCTCTCGGGCTCTTGGGCACGCACGCACACGTGCCCGGCGTGAGTTTTAAGCCACCGGGTCCGGGACGCGAACCGCGGTTGACTACGTGGGAGTCCAGCGACATAGCCATTACGCTAACTGCTGGTTCCCTTTTTCCATGAACTTTTAATGTCTCACCATACACCTGTAGAAAAACTCAACTGTTTAACAAAGGCTTAAAAACTGTTCTTTGGAGGTAGTTCAAGGACCTAATAAATAAATAAAAAAGCATTTTTTTTTTTAAAAGCAATGACAATTTAATAGGAGAAAGTGCAAAAAGAAGGCCTCGGAGTTACTTTAATAAGCTCTATAAGCGAGAAATACAAATGTTACATTTTTTTTCTACTACTACCCTTAACTTTACAAATAGTTGCATAAAAGTTAAGTATAAATAAATACATTTTCAAATGCCCACCCAGGGGAGTTTATGATGACTCCTAAAGGAGACTGAGGCAGTAATGAGATGTTTATTTCAAAAATTTGTGAAGTGAAAAATCAGATCCAATTCTAAGTTCTTGGTAGCCCACGACACCATGTTCTGAATATAATTTTAAACAATTACTTAAAAATAGCAGATCCACTAGGCATCATCTACCTGATTTATCAATGAATTATTTTTCTAATGAGGATATATTAGAGATGTAGATTATCTCAGACAAGGTATTCATAGAATTTATAAGACTGCTCATTTTTAAAATGCTGCATAATTTAATTATGCACAGCACATGATTGATCTAATTATCTTTGGATTCTCCCTAAAAACTATATTAAATTTGTTTCTAAATGTCATTAGACTTCAACAAATTAAGTTATACAAATTTCAAAGTAAAAAAAAAAACCACAAAGAACTTACACAAAGAGCTTGTCATTTAAAATTTAAGTGAAATCTTAACAAGCTAGTTGAATTTACTTTGAATACAGGAAATATTCAAATTGTAAAATTCCACTTAAAAATTGGCCCAATGGAACTCAAAAAGTATTTTTCATTGAAACAGTTTTACCTAATGAACACATTTTCAAAGCATGAATTCTTGAGTTATAAAAAGCAACATATTTGTAAAATTGAAAATTATTTGTTGCAATGCAACCAATTAACAGATCAAACAAAATAAAGGTATGATCGTATCTTCAGTGCTGGGGTTTGAGAAAAAGTTAGTTTATCAACAGCTGGATGAAATGATACACACCAAGAATCCTCAGGCAACCTAAAGTTCCAGGGCATGATGGCAAACAACCACACTCTGCTACCCTTCTACTGCCTCATCAGCAAGGATAGAGTTTAAAAAATGAGTATCGCAGATCTCAAAGCTCTGACACCCGAGATCAGCACATGGCATAATGGTTATGTTGCTGGACTCCCACGTAGTTGACTGCAGTTCGAGCCTTGGACCTGGCGGCTTAAAACTCATACCAGGCATGTGCACCATACATCCCAAGAGAAGAACGAAGAAGGGATTGCAGCATGGACTTCCTATCTAGAGGGTGATTTATCGCTTTCTGTCTCTCTGTTTCTGTCTCTCTGGTGAGCACACATACCTGATAGCAAAAAAATCTTTCTACCAAAAAAAAAAAAAAAAAAACCTCTGACACCAGACACCCAAGATAGACCAGACTTCTGGCTGAAGATAACTTTTTCCTTCCCCACTTTGCCCTCCCACTCAAATTCTATCAAATGATAGTGAAAGATAAAAACAGCTAACAGTCTAAAAGGATAATCAAAGAAAAAGTAAACATGAGCAAACGAGAAGTCAAACATTCAGAAGACAGAAAACAAAGAAATAGTAACTTATAAAGCAGAATGGATGAAGTGATGACATTAAGTGCTACAGAGTGGGAATTTGGATGAGAGGAGTCTGTCCCATGGAACCTCTAAAAGACTCAGATTTATCACAACAGATGTGAAGTGTGGGGAAGTGGTCTTGGGCTAAAAACTCGAAGAGTGACTGAAAGTGTGCACAAAGACCACCACTCAGCACCAGGCCCAGAAAGTAGCCAGTATAGACTGAAAGACTAGAAAAGTAAAAAGGTTTCCACAAAAAAAAGTGGGGGGGAGGGTTTAAAAGTTGTGAAGCATTTGAGCATTAAAAATTTACTTAATTAAGCACTTGGAAAAAAAAATCACAGTACATAATAAACAAAAGGCAAATAATTCTTGTAAAAATACAGAATTATAGAGGCCAACCTGTGGCCTGATAGTTAAGGGAGCTGGATCCCACAGAGCTGACGCCACAGTTCAAGTACCAAACCTCCTGGCTTGAAAACAGGTGCCTATTTGTATGCCCAAACTCCCAAAAGAATTAAAAAAAAAAAAAAAAGAGAGAAAGAGCAATGGATTGCAGCATGACAATGCCCTGTGGGGATGGGATTCTCCCTCTCCCTCTTTCTGTCTCTGTCTCTCTGGTGAGTGTAAGCATTCTCTGGCAAATAAATTATAAAGGAAACAAAACATAACAATACATACTGATAAACTAGAAAAGGAATACTCTATGTGTATTAATAATAATGAGAACACTGAACACTGATTTAACCAATTAAATCACATTGGAAGGACAAGGAGAGGCTAAACTAGAGAAGGGGCCCAGGTGCTGGTCTAAGAACCTTGTTCTTAACTACTGTAAAAGGAGAACGAACTGCATTACAGCAGAATAAGCACATCACTTTGAAATGTCAACGTGAATAGTAACTCAATTTAGAGGTTTAAGGTGGATGTACAGAGAGCGGTTGGGGCAGGAGACTGCCCTGATTTCCTTTTAAGCCATTTGGCCCTATTAGATTACTGAAAATTTCTTACTTCAGTGAAAATGAACCTTTGGGAAAAATTTAGAGGGGTTTCCGGCACATTTAGAGGCATCAAAAGTTAATGTCCCTGGTTCTTTATTACATCAAATTATATCTCAGAACATTTCTTTTCTGCAGCAGTAGACTGAAAATGAAGGTTAAAGAGGATATGTACATGTGCAAGCAGATTAACAAGAGAGACCAAATGCCCAATATGAAAGCGACCTGTAAGTTTAAAGACATGGGACTCCTGGTAACATGGGAAAAGATAATTCTATCCAACTTTTCCCACCGAGACCAAGCAGAAAAGCTGGCAAAATACAATGCAAACGCATCTGCTCAAGGGCAGCAGGAAGCTTACATGATAATGAAGAATTAGCAGGCCAATATCTGAGAAATGATGAAAATTAGACATATGAGCCTCTGGATCATCTTTGAATCATCTTAGTTCTTGAAATGAGATTAAGGAAATCCCAGAATTCTAGTACTCCTGGTACTTGACAGAGTAGAGAAAAATCCAAGTTTAATGCTCCCTAAAGGGAGGAAAAAAGGCAAAAAGTAAAGACACTAGAATAGCCAATCAAGCCGACTTGGCTCTTGAGTGGTATTTCACCTGGGAAAGCTTGCTTACTGGTCAGAGTTCATAAAAGAGAGAGGTATAAATATATGTCAACTCAAAATTTTGAAAGGTAGGTCACAGTCACCACTTTACATTTTACATATAAAAAAAGAAAAGCAAATCTATTTCCATTTTCTAAAAGTAAAGCAACATTAACTTACTTTTCCAATACCATTTTTCTTATTTGTGATTTACTGCTGCAATTGTTACATGGACCAAAATGGGCAGCATTAAGTGGGTGCCATTCAGGGATGACATGTGTAAAGGAGACCAGACTCTTCATACACCTATAAAAATAAGACAACATACTTATATTATGTTAAAATTTGTTTACATTTACTTAAACCAATGACTAAAATAAAAGGTATTCCTCTATGTTTGTGTATTCACATTCTCCTGTTTCCCCGAGTCATTTGCTAATCTGGTAATGTTCGTCTCTCACCCTACTAAAGAAGTTCTCTGCAGAGACTATCCATATTAATTATCTATTGTTTTTCAGCTAGGAGATGAAGCCAATGAAGTTAAAGGCAGGATTTCTCAACAATAACACCACTGGCATTTTGCCCAAGATAATTCTTTGTCATAAGGGGCTGTCCTGGACAGTATAGGATGCCTATCATTACCCCATGGCCTCTACTCAATAAAAGCCAGCAGTTGTACCAACCACTGTATCCAGCCATTGCCAAACAGCCTGCATAATAGCTCCTAGTTGAGAACCACTGTTCTTAAGTTGAATGATTTATTAAAAGTTCATTCTTTACTTATATAACTCAATCTGGCTAGTTATTACTGACAACCTAAACTGGAAAGAAGTATTTTCAAATATAAAATCAGGAATATATACAGCTTTATTTTCCTAACCCTTAACAAAATACATAAAAGTAACAGCAACAGTTCCACAGGTGACACAAGTTCTAAATCTGCAGTTTAGTATGAATACTTGATGGCCACAGCCATCTAAATAATGATCTTTAAAGACAGATGCACCCTGAACCTCAACTGCATCCACTGTACAGAAATATTTCTAACTAAAAGAGGAGTTACATAACATTGAAGAGATAAAAGCTTTTCATTTTTTAAAAGAATTATTTTATTTAACTTTATTTATTTATTTTTAAATTGACCAGAGAAGGAACAAGAGAGAGAAAGTGAGAAAGCAAATCACTAGGTCCAGGACTTAAACCATGGCCAGCCCTGTGGGAGTCCAGCACCCTTAACCACTGTGTCACTTGCCAGCCCCCAAAAGCTTTTTTTCTAAAATAGTAATTAACAGGACCAGCAGATGGCATAATGGTTATGTTGCTTGACTCCCACATAGTCCATTATGGTTGGAGTCCCAGACCCACAGGCTTTAACACTCATGCCAGGCGTGTGTGCCTGCATGCCCAAAATCCTGAGAAGAGAATGGAGGAGAAGGGATTGTGGTGTGGCAGTCCCCCCCGGGGGGGATTTCTTGCTTTCTTTCTCTCTGTCTTTCCAGTGAGCGCACGTGCCTTATAGCAAAACTCTCTCAGAAAATCAAGATAAATAAAATAACAATTAACAAATAATAAGTAAAATAACACTGGCTATTGAAAATAGATCAGTTCTCAGGAAAGTCAGCATTTTAAAAGCAAAGCAACATAAAAGTATCAACAAATACATTAACTGTATGTTTTATTCTTGAAGATGACAGTAAACGTAAGCTCTTAGATTTCAGTATATAAAAGAGTTTGTCTCAGCAAAGAAGGTTGTGATTAGGAAGAATACCTCAATAAACGAAAAAGATTTAGAGGCCAGAAAAGCTGAAATGTAACTCTGGATTCTGCCCCTAACTAGTGTATCACTTTGGGTATCAATCTGACCCCTTCCAGCCTTTACTGTCCAATTTGTCAGATGAGAATACAAGAATCTTCCTCACCGAGTTACTGTGAGGAGAAAACCACTGATTTTTGCACAAATCAATGATAGAAGACCTGGAAATGGATATCTGTTCTTCTACTTACAAAAAATTATTTAAGCCCCAGGTATGAGGAAACACTAATTCTCACCCTGTTCTAGTTATTCTATGCTAATAGATCAATAACTATTTTCTGTTGCTTGCATTCCCTAGAACACTCTGCCAACTCAGCTCTCCTTGATTACTCTCTAAATGCCTAAAAAGACTCTGACATTTAGATAATAAACATCTAAGTAATATATTTCTCTCACATTGTTATTTAATAACTTAGATTCCAAGTTTTCTAATTTACTAGTAGATGAGTTAAAGAAAAGATTTATCTCTACTGTAATAATACAAATAAATGACCCACGGAGCCAGTTTGGTAATCTCTCTAACTGCCAGCCAGCAACTTTCTCAGGTACAAAGTCAGCGTGTCAGGCCTGATGAAACCTTTCCCTCCCAACTGCTCTTAAACCTAATTCCTCCCCTTACATACTAGGTATATGGAAGCAAAGAAAACCGGCAGCTTCTTTCCGCTCCATGTTTTCTCCCAATCTCGGGCCATATACATCAATCATACTTTTCTTTTTTTTAGCATTTTGCCATAGGATGCATGTGCTAGACAGAGAGAGATAGAGAAAAGCAGTGAGAGGGAAAGTGAGAAATTACCCCCCAGGGCGATGGCCACACAATCCCTTCTCCTCCAGTCTCCTCCTGAGATTTTGGGCAGACATGCAAACGTGCCCAGCATGATTTTCAAGCTACCAGGTACAAATCCTCAAATCGCAGTGGACCAAGTGGGAGTCTAGCACCTTAACTACCACGCCACCTGCTGGCCTCTCAGTTATACCGTTCTAATCCTCACCTAGAGGCATCAGGGAGGTAGAAAGTGTGCCTAAGATAGCTTAGGCAAGACGGAGAATTCTGGTGGTGGCTATCTTTTGTGTGACTAAGGGAAGGAATGAGAAAGCATAAATTACCTCAGAATTGCCGATTCTACAAGCCTAAAGTCAGTTTCTATGATGTTAAGTCTAAAGTAAGTTAACAAACAAACCCCAGTCTCTAATAGAGGCATAAATAAAACACAAATATACACCCTCTCTCAGCAGGGAATATGGAGTATGTGCTATCCTCATTTGTCCCCACTTAACACTAAAGAACTTCTTTAGAAAACTCCTGCTAGACCAGCAACCAAACCATGGGGTTTCTGACCCTTTCACTAACTGTGGTTAGTGCATCAGCTAACTGCAGTTTCTGAAGCTTTAATGTTGGTAGTGGTATAAGAAATTCTGTCAAAGTAGAAGAAACCAGGGCAAAAGCAATGCTATTAGTAGTAGCAAGTTTTATTCAAATTATATTACTTGAAGCGTTTTCAACAGAATGAACCCATTTTCAGGGCCACTCATGGTATGGTGGTTAAGGCAAGTGAATCTCAACATGGTTTGAGTCCCAGATCTGGTAGCTTGAAAAAGATGTTGAGTGTGTGTCCCAAAATCTGAAAAGGAGGACAGGATGGAGAACAGACTATGGTGTGACCATTCCCCACAGAGGATGCTTTCTCAATTTCTCTCTCACTGTCTCTCTACAGCAAATGGATGTGCCCTCTGACAAATTTTAAAAAAAGAGAATGAATCCATTAGAAAAACACAGAAAAACTAACCTGTTTTGATACTGGTGTCCACACTGTGAACAATCGAAGTCCCAAGAAAAAGAGTATGTGAATAGTTTTTCAATGTGGGGTTCTATTTTTAACAGCAGGGGAAATGCAAACACAGGGCTTTCCATATCACCTGTAAAAAGAAAAGTAAAAATTATCACTTGTAATTAACAACTGTAAAAAGTAAACCTTTTCTCACTATATTTACAGCATGATTCTATGTGAATATAGTATAACAAAGGAAGTCATTCATAATTGGGTAGAGGAAGTTTTAAAAGCATTTTCTAAAAATGTCCAGCACAAGAATATCATTATCTACTCAGTCTCTTTCATTTTTCTGGTGGGCATTTATAAAAACTTAAGATAAAAAAAACAAAAAAGACCCATACTGTCTTCTCAGATCTTTCTAGTTTTTTTTCAGAGGGGGAAAAAAATCCTTAGAAATATGATAGCCTTTGAGTATATTAAAACAAAAGTTATGTAAATAGTTTGCCAGAGAAACAAATAAATAACTTGAAAAAATATTGTAGAATAAAATCAGATTTGGACATCATTAAACATCATTTCCATTCCAATTCCCCTGACTCCACATGTGACGAGTGCATGACAAACAGGGTTAAGGAACAGCCTCAACTTCCCCGCTTTTCTCAATCTACCACTCTTCCAACCTTTAAGTCAAATCCTTTTAATAATTAAACTCCAATAACCTTGAGACTAGAGAAGATCTGAATTTTGTTGTCATTAAAATAAGACCTAAATGGTGAGTGTTGGCGTCCAGCTTTTGAGATGAGCAAATTAAACAAGAGATTGACATTCTTCTTATATTCGTTCTGCATTTGGCTTCTCTCCTTCCCATCATCAGAGAAGCTTAGATGCTTCTCTTAGCTTAGACTTGGCCCCAAAGAGACTGTCTCCTTCTGTCACCTCCCTCCCCGGGACACAGCCTCATGTTCATGGCCCCAATTTCTCATGAGTCTGGAACTACAGTGCTGAGAATATGGCCAGGAATGGTCACCTTGGCAGGACCTGAAGATAAACAGGAGGTGTTATTGCCTAAGTGGATTCTATAAATATCAACAGTTATAAAGGCTTTTTTTTTTTTTTTTTGCTATAAGGCACGTTTGCTTGCCAGAGAGAGTGAGACAGAGAGACAGAAAGCGAGAAATCATCCCCCCAAAGGGGATGGCCACACCGCAATCCCTTCTCCTCCATTCTCCTCTCGGGATCTTGGGCATGCATGCACACACGCCCAGCGTGAGTTTTAAGCCACCGGGTCCGGGATGCAGCAACATAGTCATGATGCCAACTGCTGGTCCCTATAAAGGCTATTTTAATAGTCACCTTTGTGGCATAGTCTCACTACTGTTTTTGGACAAAAACGAAATCAAAACAGAATATTTTTTATAAATAGAAATGAATTCCAATCTCCTAGAAATGACAGCATACAACACTGGATGCATAAACAATATGCAGTATACTACAAGTTATGCAGTGCACTATGAGTCTGTAATTGGTCTTCGGCCTATGCTTACTCTATCGTAACCAAATATTAATTGAAGAAGCCATCATTTATATTTCATAATGACAACATAAAATCTTCAGGTCTAAAATACATAAGGTTCTTAGTGAATCAAAATATCATAAAAGAGCTCTTTATAAAGTTATGATTACAGATCACTTTAGGTAATTTACAGAGCTCCTAAATTGATTGTAATTATTTTTCCTTTGATTACAAATTTTATAGGTACTAAATATAAAGCATCTTGCTACAGAACATGTAATACCAATACTAATGCCTCATTTTACTTTTTATAACCTCTTGCCTAAATCAGTTAAGTAGTCTCTCTGCATCTAGAATCTTAACCCCAAATCCCCACCCCCAGCTCCTAACCTAGGAGCTTTTACTCCCAGATAATACCTTCACTGGGCATGATGCAAACCTTTCAATGACGCTCTGCTCTCTAGCTATTCCAGTTTTCTCTTCTGTGGAGTTCTCAATATCTTCAGGCTGCTTTTCTACCAGGTTGTCTATTTTTATTTGACTGGTATACAAAAGCTCTTTATATAAGACCTCCTGGACATTAGCTTTATTATATTTACCAGTCTTTATTAAAAAAAATTTCCCCACTCTGAAGATATCCACCTATTACTTTATCCCATAGTTTTATAATTCCTCACTTAGGAATTTAAATATGCTGAAATTCTGGGGCCAGCAAGTGGTGTGGTGGGTAAGGCACTGGATTCCCACATGGCAGACCACAGTTTGAGTCCTGGACCCAGTGGCTTGAAAATCAAACCAAGTGTGTGTGTGTACCCAAAGTCCTAAGAGGAGAATGGAAGGGATTTTGGCAAGGCCATCCCCTCCTAGGGAGGCAGGGAGGGAGATGATTTTTCACTTTCCCTCATTTTGTTTCTCTCTGTCTCTGACAAGAGCATATGCCCTATGGCAAAAATCTTTTTATAAGAATTATTTCCTTTATTTTTATTTACCATTATTGTTATTTTCAAATTTCACCAGAGCAAGACACAGA